CTTTTTTTAATTTAGTCTCTCACCTTTGTATTTTATGCAATTTGATTTTTTAACGTAATATTATTGCAATTTCTTTATTCCATCAATTTTTTTGACTCCTTTATATCTCATCAATACTTTATCCTCAAAATACATTCTTTAAGAAAATAAAATTATAAATATATTTTATGATTTAGATGACATTTGATTTATTAAATAGTATTGCAATATAAAAATAATATGAAAATGTATATATACGTGTATTTTATATGGTGAGAGAAAATCATTAAATTGAAGCAATCCACACCATAACATTATAAACATTAATAATTAAATTTACAAACTCGTCTCAAATGTCATAAAATCGACTACAAATTACGCATTTATATAAGTTGAAATTCTAAATATTATTAAACACATAACTTTAAAAATATTTTATAAATATCTAAATAAGTATTTAACAATAAAATTACTAATAAAAACAAAATTACTAAAGTTGAGGGTAATGGGTTAGAAGCTAAGCATGAGTTTGTTGAAAACATGGGTCTACCTGCTCTTATATTCTATGCTATCTTCATTCGAGTATTTAATAAATTTGCATAGCATAATAGCCAGTACTACCATGCATTAATTTATTAAATTTTGAGATGAGAATATGTACACAATTTCACCTACCAAATAAAATATTTATTTAAGCGCAGAGTCGAATAATATTAATATCGACATTTATGAAATTATTACTCAAGAATAAGTCGTGAAGCTTCTTTGAAATTAACTTGACGGAATTTCCTGGGGTTGAATTATTTGAGAAGTATATGGTGGGCAAGAATCGAGTTGATGTTGGTCATCATCATCATCACCATCATTACCATCATATGGCATGCCATAAATTAATATGCATAAGAAGACAGACATGCCTCATTCTCAAATGTCAAGTAATGGCAGATCCGCATTAACAGGCACACGAATTCTCATGCAAGACTTAAACCATATGGTACTATACGAATAATATATGATATTAAGCATATACTAAACGATAAAGAAAAGAAAATAGCATAAATTTGACTATACTTCACCCTGATATTAAGCGGATACTAAACGATAACCAAAAAACGTCTCATGTGGTTCTTGCGAGGTGTACTCCTGCAGTAGATTTTGTCAAATTCTTTGTAGTTGGAAACATGGCAGCAACATCGTCGGGTTGCGGGGGAGTCCTCTCAAAGGATAATGTGATGAGAGCAATTTTTTTTGGGCCAGTCATAGGCGATAACATAGAATTAGCATTGCTAACAATAATTAAAAGAGCTTGGGAAATTTTCATTGAGGCCAAGTGGTCAGGGAAGGGTACGCTAAAGGTTGTATTGCCCTCAAAGACAGTGTGAAAGTGGATAGTGGATGTGGAATCAAGGCTGTGGAATCGGTGGTAATGCTTAATAGAGATCGACGTGTTGGTGAGTTCCATTGAAGATGTTCATTTTTCTACTTCCAGCTGGCAACTTTCTTCTTTGGCTCATCATCTGGCAATTGAAGGAATGTATCAGAGTATTATGTTTAAAGGATGGTGGTAACTTATTCGAACGTTGCGGAATCGGGATTGGCTTAGAGATCGTTATGCCTTTGGCTTTGGTGATTGTTTGTTTTGTTTTTATTGCGATGATTTATAGTGTTATCCTGTTTGTAGCAGCCTAGTTCTTCACTCTTTTCTGCGTGGGAGGTCTCCTGTGTCAACTATGTGATCTGTTTTGTTGCATTTTGTTGTTATGTTGATAGGGAGTCTTTTCTTATTTGTTGGCGGGATCGGAGGACTTCATATAGGCTGTTGTGGTTTAGATGGGGATTATATTTCAATGCAATGTGATGTTAGTAATATTGTGGTGGCCTGCATGTATCCAAGCTTTATGTTTGTATGGTCTCAGGGGATATGGTGTATATGTGTGGTTAAAGCTTTATTGTTGTTTGTTTCTCTGCCCCGAGTCAAGAATACTCTTTTCCTCCATTTAAATTTAGGGAGGCTTTTGACTTAAGCTCGATTAATAAAAATCATTTTGATGAGTAAAAAAAATTAGCATAAATGTGACTATACTTCACCCTCATTTGTTTTAATTTCCCATTGGTTTGTATTGATGTTCTCCTTTGTCTTAAAGCGGTTACTCTTTGTAAATTTTAAATATAAATAATATAAAATTTATTATTCTATAAATAATTTTAAATATAAATAATATAAAATTTATTATTCTATAAATATATATAATACACTAAAATTTTATTACTTTATAGTTAATTTGCATGTTGATGTAAAAACTAACAACTTCACTTCTTTCTAGCTAGTTGAAATATTACCACCCATCGTGAGGGACAAGGTTATTGTAAATGTACTATTATAAAATAGGTTAACATTGATTAAAATATAAATTGAATAGGAATAAATCAAATAATAAGTGTATTGTGAAAGAATCACTATTTTAAAAATAAAGTCATCTTGATAGATGTAATTGTAAAATGGATGTTATTTTCGAAAATAATATAGTTTTTTATAACAGATAGAAACAATAAACCTTTAAAATATTTATTGTTTTGAAAATTTTAAATAAAAATATTTTTTAAAATGATATGATATAAATCGAAAATACAAATATAAACAACATTGAAATCGGATGAACGATGAAGGCATACGTATGTTAAACCTTAACTTCAACTAATCAATAAGGACAAAAAAAACTATAAATACTCTCTTATAAACCTTATTTTCAACTAATATGAAATAATTCACTTGTATTACTATTGATGGAAACATTTGGATTGTGTCGGTTGTTGATGGATCGGACGATCATTGATTGATTTATGAGTCAAGAAAGATAAATGCATCAAGAGAGAGGTTTTAGATCTTTCTTCCGGTCTTGATCGAGATGTTTTATAATAAATCTGAGTGAATATCATATGATCTTACCAGAAGTTACGTGAAGAGATCACGATTTCTCAAAAAGTGTAAAGACTTTGAGTATTGTGTTCTGAATTATCTTATATATGAGATTAGAAAGAGATATAACAATTACAAAACAAAAAAATTATCTTAATTAAACTGTTTGGAACTATCATATATATTAAAAAAATTGTTTTGTTTTTCTTAAACATTTGAGATCTTCTGTGAATTATTATTTCATCAGACAGTAATAAAATATCCACAGTTATAAGCAGTGTTATTAAAACCGGACCGGCCGGTTCAACCGGTTGAACCGTGAACCGGTTGCCTGTCCGGTCCGGTTAACTCCCAAAACCGGATGAGCACAGAACCGGTAGAACCAGCTGAGAACCGGTAAAACCGGGGTGAACCGGCTGAAAACCGGTAAAACCGATGTGAACCGCCGGTTCTCTTTTTTTCTTTAAAAAAAATTAAACCAAAAGACGTCATTTGTTAAACGAGCCGAGTCGAACTCGAGTACCGCTGAGCTCAACTCGAACTCGAAAACTTTAAAAGTAAGCTCAACTCGACTCAAAAACTCACGAGCTAAAAATTATCAAGTTCAACTCGAACTCGAAATATAATATTGAAACTTAAACTCGAAAAGGCTCGAACTCAAAAAAAAAATAGAAGCTTGATTAAAGCCTGAAATTCGAGTTCAATTGAAGCAAAAGAATAGTTCGCTCTGTGCTCACCAAAAGGCTCCATGATTTTGAATGTCAAATTACCTCTAGTATTTATAGAAGTAAGTTGTGATGCTCTTCTATATTTCTTAGCCATGTGAGATTGTTTTGTTCTAATATTTTCTCTTTAGACTTTTGGGATGCTCTTCTATGTTTCTTAGCCATGTGTGATTGTTTTTAAAAAAAATTAAACCAAACGACATCGTTTGTTATGATTTTTTTCAGCCCCAATTTTATTTTTTTGATTATAGTTATATAATTATATTTATTATTTAATATGTTTTACCTTAAATATTATGTTGTAGTTGATTTGAATCATTTTGTTTCACTTGATTTTATGTTTTTTAACTTATATATGTTATGACTTGTGATATTTTTATACCTTTTAATATTGTAAACTTAAAAAAAATGTTATATATATATTAATATTGCTTTGAATATTATGTAAAATTTAAAAATATATTATTTTATATAAAATCCGGTTGAACCCGGTTGAACCAGTAAACAAGTACCTTCATCGGTTTAAGGTTCAGTCCGGTTTTAAAAACATTAGTTATAAGTTGTAATAGGAAAGACGATAATTAAGACATCAAAAACAAGTTGAAATTGGTTGTGAAAAGTCGAACTCTAAAAAAGTTAATGCATGTGTTGGCAATGGCATGACGAGATCCCTGTGAATTATGATTGGAACGGCAAAACAACCCCCAGTGTCCATGTCAATAACCATGTGAATGATAATGGAAACAGTTAATATATATATTTTATATAATATTTTCGGTCGATATGATAAAAATAAAAAAATCGTAATCATCTCTAAGTATATATAATATTTATGAAATTAGTGGTCCGATCATTGAGCTGCCCGAGGAGGAGGGGGAGGAGGAGCAAAGCCCGTGATTCCTGTTGGAAAGGCAATTTCTTAATCTTTTTTGTATCTCGCAGTTAAAATTTTTATATTTAATCTTAACTTCTACGTAAACTACTTTATTTCGTTTCGATATAATATTCATTGTAGAAGAATAAATAAGAAAAAAGGTCGTTCATTATAGGCTGGACGGGGAACAATGTCAACAAGGCCGCCATGTTGAGTCACACAAATTCTTCTCTTGCATTTAGCCTAGGGACAAAATTAATACGAACAAAAGTCCACTTTGAAGTAAATAGTGTTCAATTTTTAATTCCGACAAACCAAACTCGAGGTCTGATAATTTTTCTTAAAATAGTACGATGAGAATCTCTAATTCCATGCCAAATTACTAACCTATCCCTGGTTCCATAACTTCAATGCATGATTCGACATCCATACATGCATGGATGAAAATATATACCATAAGGGATATAAGTAAATATTATTGTTTACTAGTCCCAATCCTAAGAGAGAAATAGGTTTGTCTGTCTTCCCTGTCAAGATCTAGGGTTTTCCAATCTGTTCAAAGATCTGTTTGAAGCTAGTTTTCTCTCTGTCTTGCCCTTACAAGAAGATCAAATCGAGTTCATGTTGATCCACCAAGAAACCTACAGCAATCACAAATTATTAGGATTTTTCAGCCCTCCAAATTTCATGCTATGATTCCTGTACTTGGATAAAATCAAGATGGAAAGAAATAGCAGCACCGAATGCTCAAAGACAACAACGACCCCATCTAAACAAAACCACCTTCCGCCGGAGGCCGAGAGCGAAACCGAAGACAACGACGGTGAAAGTAAGCCTAGAAATGTAGGAAGCTCGAGCAACAGCACGGTGGAAGAGAACGATAAGAAGCCATCCGTTAGGCCTTATGTCAGATCCAAGACGCCGAGGCTCCGATGGACACCGGACCTCCACCTTGGCTTCATTCACGCCGTCGAGCGACTCGGTGGACAAGACAGTGAAACTTCATCATCGATCTCTCTAGCTAGTCTCATCTCAATTTGTCTGCAATTTTTTTTTTAATTTCTCACTTCGATACAGGAGCTACTCCGAAGTTGGTTCTTCAGCTGATGAACATAAAAGGACTTAGCATCGCTCATGTCAAGAGCCACCTACAGGTTGTTATTCATTTATTTGTAGATTTGGTAAAAGGATTAATAGGAGAGAACCCTTTGATTTGTTTTGTTCTAACAATCTTTTCCTTCAACTTTGGGGACTAATTTTTCATCAGATGTATAGAAGCAAGAAGATTGATGATCCAAGAAAAGGTACGTATGTAGTTTCAATTAGGGTTTCGAATTTCGATCATTGGTCGTCTCTAATGTATATACCTTTGCATATGGCAGCCATGAATGATCATAGGCATCTTGTGGAAAGTGGAGATCGAAATATTTATAACTTCAACCAACTTCCCATGCTGCAAGGCTATAAGAATCATCACCAAAGGTATAATTCCAACACTTTCAGGTGCTAAATTAATCTAGAATCAATAAATGCACGTACGTACTATTGTAGTTTAAACCCAAATTTTTGCTTGTTTTTCAAGATACGGCGATGCTTCTTGGAATGGCCGACAGTTCTCGATACATAATTCTTATACGAGCCAGTTTCATCGATGAACAAAGACCAGGATTGCATGGAACCGTGATGGAGAGGATCTTTGGCAGTAATAGGACGACAAATTATGCTTCCCCTTTCAATGTATTGAAGAAAGAATTTTCATCGTTCCTTACTCATCCAAGTACTCAACCCAAAGTAGAATACGGGACAAGTTTTAGCCGGAACAGTGCACATGGGCGTAAGGCGATGAAAAGATCGATATCGGACAGCAATCTCGACTTGGATCTATCTTTACGGTTAACATTGCTGAACGAGGAGCGGCGGAGATTGGTGGAGGAAGACGATGTCGGCCGTGACTTATCACTATCGTTGTGCTCACCGCCGCTACCGTCAAAGGTTAGCAGATTGGAAGGAGAAGATAGTAGTAGGGGGAGTGGAAGAAGGGTAAGTACTCTTGATCTGACTATATGAATGGGGACAATTCTAAGTGAGATCTTGAGGTACTTATCCTAGGTAGAGGAAAGGGTTTTTCTTGTTGTCAAATTGTAGTGTGATTCTCTGTCGTTTGCTTCACATTATCAGCTCCGTTCAAAGTTATGTTGAAAAAGAGACAGGCTACACAGTTCTAGGTTCATAGTAATCTTGCTGACAAAAATAGAAGAAGACAAGTCTTGTTGGCAAGAAACTAGTTCAGGTGATTCTTTGAAAGAAGAGCACAACATTAGAGAAAAGGGACAAATTTGATGGGATAATGGTTTAGAAAAAATAATTTGTAGGGAACGTTGGATAAATTATTTTCTTAATTGGGGTGAAATGAATAGTGTAGGAAGACAATCAGATCATCTGATATTTTTAGGAAGACGCCCGGAAGATATGTGTCTTTAGGCTTAAATTATGTGTAGATTGTAGGGTTGAGCAACGAAACAGAGAAAACCGATTCGAACCGGATTATTCAGTTCAATTTTTTAAATTTATGGTTCAGTTTTGTTTGGTTTTAAAAACATTAATATGTAATTCTTTTCGATTTCGGATTTTTCATGTGGAAACCATTTGAACCTAATTAAATCTAATTTAAAAATAAAGAAAATAAGTATACAAAACACATTCCTATTGAATTCATTATAATACAAGTTTAAATAAATAAAATATTAAAACTAATAATATTTTTATAAATTTAAATTTATATATTTACATTCGATTTAAGTTTTAAATTTAATTTTTTTTGAGGTTGAGTTTGGAAATAGTGAACATTCAAAAACCATCAAACCTAATCAAATCAAACCAAAAGTCATGGTTTTTATGTCATTCAGTTTGGGTTTTGATTCCCATTTTTAAAAACCCACAAAGTTTGATTCAGTTCATATTTTAGAGAAAAACAAAATCGAATACACCCCTAATAGTTTGAACGTCAATCTTAGCAGATTACCAAGACATTGACATTAGGTAGTCTGGTCGTCTTTCCCACGCAATGTTCATTCTACCTTAGTTGAGAAAGTAATTTCCCTTACAACTCATATGAGTCATGTTGGAAAATATACTGCAAAATCAAATCGTTAGCACTGGCTGTATAATTAAAAACAAAACAAACAGTAAACAAATAATCATGTCGTGGTATGAATCACTACCTACCTTAGAAACGATTTCATCTTGACGTTTATAATAGTTATAGTAGGGGATCGTCTCCCAAAATTAATAAGATCGCTCTGAATAATCGTACAACCGAAAATCAGAGTGAACTGACAATGGTATTACTCTTCTCTTATCACCGAAAAATAAGAGTTTCGAAAAGCTTTAGAAGAAAAAGGATTTCATAGGGAGAAAAGATATTGTTTGTAAGGATGATAAAAAGGTGTCTCCATTCACATACACATAGTAAAAATTAAGGCTTAATTCACGCAGTTGTTACAGCTATTACCATAATATTGTTATGAAACAGACAAATTAGCTAGATTTAATCCTCTAATAACGTTATTAAAAAAGTTGTTTGCGGATGAATCTAACCCCGAAGGCGCTTAGATTTGTTGCGGAATACGACTATCGGATAGAGCAAAATCGTAATTGATAATTTGAGAAAATAAAATAAAGATAAAGAAGACATAAAATTTACATGGAAAACCCCTAAATAATATAGGGTAAAAACCACGGACAACGATAGAATAATTTCACTATGAGAAAATACGAATTACAACTTCTCTCGATCTACCAATGAGAAAACAATGACAATTCTCTCTTGATAAAAAGGAGAAAAACAACTCTCAAGAAACTCTCTAAATTCTCTAGTATTGGGAGAAAGCTAGAATGATTTGTGATGGATTTGAAGCTAAATGAGCTAGAGTATTTATAGTTGAAGCTTAAGGACTAATTTGTAAATACCCTAAATTACAATGACTAAAATTTAGGATTTTACCATTTTTTTCAACAAAATATGCACCTTTCGGTGCCCTTTTTTTAATTCATTTCTTTCTTTTGTTTTCTCACGCACTTTCGGTGCATGTGCCTCAATTTTCAACAATCTCTCACTTGAAGATTTGATTTGAACAATTATATCTTCACACCATTCTTTCTACCTTGTACCATCATGTTGCTTACGTTTCTGACAGGCCACAAGAGGATCAACACCAAGTAAATTTATCAGCATTGATCGTCTTCATCGTGAAATCTGCTATGTTGTCTTTGGTATGTATCTTCTGCATATCTATTATCCCTTCTTCCACCTTTTCACGAATGAAATGGTATTGAACTCGTATGTGCTTTTTCCTTGAATGAAATGTTGGATTCCTTGCTAAATGCAAGGCGCTTTGATTGTCACAAAACAAAGATACATACTCTTGATTGTGCCCAAACTCCTCCAATAGCATCTTCAACCAAATTGTTTCTTTAGTGGCTTGTGTAGCTGCTACATATTCTGCCTCTATTGTGGATGTAGCCACAACTGACTGCAATTTTGAAACCTATCTTACAGTTTCACCAGCAATTTTAAACACATATCATGTAGTAGATTTGCTTTTATCTAAATCCTCTGCATAGTCAGAATCAACATACCCATTGATAAGTAAGTTTGGTCCTCCATAACATAATGCAACTTTGAGGTCCCTTTGATGTATCTCAAGGTCCTCTTTATTTTATTTTAATGCTCTTTGCCTGGATTCGCCATGTACCGACTAACCACTCCTACTGCTTGTGCAATGTCTGGTCTTGTGCATATCATAGCGAACATTAAACTTCCCACTGCTGATGCATACGGTACTCGAGACATCTCCATCCTCTCTTATTCACTGTTAGGACTCATACTGGAGGATAATTTGAAGTTAATAGGAAGAGGGGTAGAAATTGGCTTACAATCTTGCATGTTGAATCGTGACAAGATCTTCTTCAAGTAATTCTTTTGTGAAAGCCAAATCTTTCTATTACTTCTGTCTCGATGAATTTACATCCCTAGAATCTTGTTTGTTGATCCTAAGTCCTTTATTTCAAATTCCTTAGCCAATTATGCCTTCAATTCTTCAATATGATCTTTGTTGGGTCCTGCAACCAACATGTCATCCACATACAATAACAATATAACAAAATCGTTATCATCAGACCTCTTGAAATAAGCACAAGGGTTTGCATTAAGTCTGTTGTATCCAAGGCACATAATGAAGGAATCAAATCTCTTATACCAACACCTCGGTGCCTGTTTTAGACCGTACAGAGATTTTTTTCAACCTGCAAACCAAGTTCTTCTTTTCGTCTTCTTCAAAACCTTCAGGCTGGAGCATATAAATCTCTTCTTCAAGATTTCCATGAAGAAAAGTTGTTTTAACATCTAGCTGCTCTAGATGTAAGTTCAATATAGCACACATTGCCAAGACTACTCGAACTATTGTTAGTCGAACCACAAGAGAAAAGATTTCATTGAAATGAATACATTCTTTTTGAGCATATCCTTTGACCACCAGTCTTGCACGATACCTCTCCACTTGATCGTCACTATTTTGCTTGATTTTGAAGACCCATTTGTTACCAATTGGCTTCCTTCCTTGTGGTAGTGGCACAAGGTCCCATGTATTATTTTTATGAAGGGCTTTAATTTCTTCTTGCATCACCATCATCCACAGTGAAGCATCTGAGTTGTTTATTGCCTCTTGGTATGTTGATGGCTCACCGTCCTCTGTTAAAAGGCAGTATGCAATATTATATTCTATAATATAATCTGAGTGCCATTTGGGACGTCTTCTCACACGATCTGATTGATGAGTTGTTGGAGCAGCTTCATAACTCTCTAGTTCTTGTTCATCATGTGCTGGTTTTGCTTCAGAAGAATCTCCTTGTTCAAACTCCTTTTCCGCATGTATCTGAGTAGTCTCTAACTTTTCAGCGCTATTATCGTCTTCTTTTCTTTGTAGTTTATCTTCTACAAATATAACATCCCTATTGATGATCACTTTGCGGGTAGTGGGATCCCATAAGCGAAACCCCTTTACACCATCAGCGTACCCCAAGAATTTGCATTTCCTGGATTTTGGATCCAACTTTGAAATTTCTTGGGAGTTGTACATCATGTACACTATACTTCCAAATACATAGAGGTTTAAATAATCAGCTGGTTTACCAGTCCACATCTCCATTGGTGTCTTTAGCTCTATTGCAGTTGATGGAGCTCGATTCACCAAATAATAAACGGTATTGATTGCTTCTGCCCAGAATAATTTTTCTAGGCATGCATCTCTCAACATTGCTCTTCTTCTTTCTAACAAGGTTTTGTTCATCTGCTCTGCCACTCAATTTTATTGAGGAGTGTTCGCCACTGTAAAACTATTTTTTGATGCCTTCTTTCTTGCAAAAGTCATCAAATTCTTCACTTGTGTATTCTCCTCCATTATTTGTTCTGAAACAGTTGATCTTATTTCCAGAATCAAGTTCCACACGCGCTTTGAAGTTTTTGAAAGTTGAAAACACGTATGACTTCTTCTCACCCAACATCTCCTAGAGTAGTAATCAATAAATGAGATAAAGTATTTTGCTCCGCCTAGGAATGTAACTGATGCTTTCCATACGTTAGAGTGAACCAATTCTAGAACACTTTTGCCTATAGAATTTGACGTATTGAATTTCAACCGGTGTTGCTTACTTGTTATGTAATGCTCACACAAAGGAAGTGATACCTTTGTTAAGCCTGAAAGTAGCTGTAACACCCTTAACCCGTATATGTCTCAATATACTAGTCAAAGATGTCATATCAACTTGAAAACATTTACTGAACTAAAATTTCCGTAAAAATTTATTTCTTTTGAAAACACTCTGGTTCTAACTTTAAAAATATATTTTAAAGTATATTTCAACTTATAATTTATTTCTTTATTACAGGAAAATAAATTCATTCTTTATTTCAGTAATTTTACTAAACCATATCTTTTCGTAAAATCTTTTAAAAACATAATAATGTAGTAAATTCTTGTCATACATAGATACCGATAAAACTAAATTAA